ATTCAGAGACCTGAAGGTCCTACTGTTAACTGGTTGGTCCCTGGGCAAGTCCGCCAGCCTCTCAGGGCTCTCCTCCCTCGCGTGCACACTGAGGAGATTGGATCAGGCTATTCTGTAAACCTTCCTGGGTCTGGTCGTCCTTTCACCACCAATTTTCTTTGACACTGGACCCAACTGAAGATCACTGTGTCTGCTCGCACTGCAGCCTATGTGCTGGTGACTCCGCGTGATCGCTTGCTTATATTCTCATGACACCATGTGTTAGTCGGCTCCTGGATTACCTTGAAGAAGAGGCTTCTTCCTTCTCAAGGAAACAGAGGTGTTGTCTCCATGGTGATATGCCCCCCCGGTCTTGGTGTGGTCCCGGCACTTCATGAGGGATACCTGCCTCATGGAGGAGGAGAGCAGTGTGGGGCAGCGCATTTAAGTGTCCATCTGTGTCCCTTGAATGAATTCTTCCCAGGAGAGAGGATCTGATTGGGTTGGTTCTTACATCCAATAGGCAGTGCCCCTTTTGAGCGGAGTTGAAAGCCAAGGCCCCACAAAGGGATTTGGAGGCCAGAATAGCATTGCTACATTAACTTTTTGCACTTGGCATAAACTGCCAGCAGCTTTATGTAAAGAGAACTGCTCTCTACATACTTTCCTCCAAAGGGAGTTGTGGGGGTGAGAAACCTTTAAAATTTGAGAGCCTCTTCCAGTACGCTTCCTCATCTGCTCTGGCCCATTGTGCTGGGTATATCTCGGGCGAGGACAGTGACTTGTTCCTCTTTGCATCCCTAAGACTGGTAAACCACCTTGCACACAACTGGTAAGAAAGTGTGTGCGTGCATGCACGTACGTGATATGTAAGGTTTTCTTTTTTCTTTTTCTTCAAATGGGGCCAACTTTTTAAAGTAGATAAAACTTGAACTGGATCTTGAAGGATGGGAAGAATTTTAATAAGCAGAGAGCATCTCAGGCCAGAGGGTGGTCGCAGAGACGTGAGCTGGGAAACAGCATAGGAAAAAGGGGTGGGGCGAGAAGGTACCATGCATATTTGGGGGAAGAAACGTGGTCCAGTTTGGCCAGGACTTTGAATCACAAAGGAAAAGAGATTGAGCTGTATTGTAACAAGCTTTACAGACATCATTCAGGCTGAGAGGCTGGATTGGAGAACTGGGCTTGAGCAGGGAATAAGCCAGTCATGGTGCTGACAGGGAGACTGACATGAGGGTGATGTGCCGGTGGGGTTGAGGTAGTAAAAGGTTAGTCAGGAGGCTGCTACTGCAAAAGTCCGAGCATGAGGTGAGATCAAAACAAGGTCTTTTTTTTTTTTTTAAACAAGCTCCTAGTAGAGATTAGGGGTAGGGGCGGGTTAGGGCTCTGATGCACTCTCAAGTCTGGGAAACCTTCCACCTAAGACAAGGATCCACTGCAAAGCATCCCTGCTAGCTGGCCCTCCAGCCTCTGTTTGCAAAAAGAACGAAGACAACCCTCCTTGGATTGACAGTTAAGACCTTCCATGGTCTTTCCCTCCACTTCCCATTTTGGGGCTCAGTGCGTCCATATACGTGTCATAAATAGGCATGAGAATTTCCACTCCCATACCTTTGCTCATAATCTTTCCCTGCCTCTTACCCACCTAAAGCCCCACCAGCTCATGCCTAATTCTTCTGCCAAACCTTTCCCTCTGCATCAGGACTCAGCCAACTCTGCCTAGGCCAGGCTCTTGGCTTTAATAGTGGTACCATTCATTTGGTACTTAGAGAAAAATTATGACACAAGGTAAGAGTGTCTGACCCCGCCATAGATTGTAAGAGCGAGGTTAGATCTTTCTTTTCTTCTCTCCCCTGCAGTGTCTGATACAGGGTTGGTTTACAGAGTAATCACATAACTGTTTGTTCTAGGTGCTGTGATGAACTATGGTCCCAAGAATTCATCACATTCCTCTGGTCTATAACCTAGATAATCTGGGGCAGGTGGTCACTGAGCATCTGCAGCTCCCCTAGTAGGAGCCTGGTGAGGCTGGTGAACATGAGCCCACAGGTCATCCCAGGGGAGGGGAGAGGCCTGAAGCATGTGCTCAGAGGTAGTGGCTGCTGACCGGGAGCCCCTGCGGGTACTTCCTTGGGTACTGACCTCAGTTTTTCTGGCTGCTCCCTTAGGTTTGCGGTTTTCTCTTGGAACCAGGCACGCAGCCCAAGGGTTCAGTCCCATGTCGTTCAAAAAGGTCGTGGTAGTCTTTACTGCTGTTCACCTAATATTTCAGTCCGCTTCCCTTGAGGGAAATGGCTGGATTGTGCTTCCTGGACTTTTCTGGTTGAGTTGGGCCATGCGGCAAGTTCTGGCCAATGAGCTGTCATTTCTGCGCTGAGCATTTAATTATAGGTTGGGGCCCTCCAAAGATTTCTTTCCCTCTGCCATGGTGGGAGAAGGTGGCTGTTTTATTACCCTGAATCCTGAAGGAAGGAGACATTGAGTAGGCTCCTGGTCAGCCCCGATGAGCACATACCAAGCATGAAACAGCCCTTTGCTGTCGTAAGCCCCATGACTTTGGGGTGGATTGTGACCACAGCTGACCCTGGCCCGTGCTGGCTGGTACCCGGGCTTGGCGAAAGCCGGCCAGGCATCTGGGCAGGTGTCCTCTGCTCTGGCTGGTGTCCTTTCAAGCTTGACTTCTCTCTCACAGGAGCCTTTCTCACACCCAAGGGTCAGAAGGCGCCAAGGGCCCGCAAGGAGAGCGTGCCCTGCAGCTCTCAGGGCAGCGGAGTGCTGGAGGCCCGGCCTCTGGCTCTGGAGCCCCTGTGTGGGGCAAGGGGGAGCGCCAGGCCCCTTCTAGAGGCGCTGGAGGAGAGCTGCAGGGGGCGGTCCGGGGAGCTACCTCCATGCCAGCTCTCCTGTTGGGGGCTCTGCAAGTCTCTAGGCTCGGATGGCTGTGGACCAGCACTTCACAAACATTCCACAGCACAGCGAGCGCACAAGCACCGCGAGGAGCAAATGTGTGTCCTGGGGGTGTGGACCTGGCCCGACATGGCCCTCAGCAAGCCGGGGCTTGTACTGGAGGGTTGTGCTTTATGACCCAAATGCACCTCGTAGTCCCTGTATGGCACTTCATGCTTGTTTGAATTTTAAAAGATTGTTTGCCTTATGATCCACTGAAAAAAGCTGATTTGGTGCATCAAGTCCCTTCTCTTGCTCCCACCCCCTTGTCACTCTGGGCCTCCCTTCTTGGGGGTGGGGGGGTCCTGGCCTCAGTCTGAGAAGTGCAGCTCCCGGGAGGTTCTGTTTCCACTGTGGTGACACCACCCTCAGCCAGCCTGGAGGGAAGCTCCTGTTGTGGCTTTAGAGAGCCGAGGGCAGGGTGGGCATGTGGCAGATGTGTGGAGGACGCTTCAGTGCTTGGGCAGCCAGGATTGGCCTTCATGCTTTCTAGAAACTTCCATCGCCTCAGTTATTCTGATGTGATGATGTCAAAACCTGCCTGTGCTGAAATGTGACTGCCAACAACTTAGGCGGTTGCTCATCCCAGGGCCTTGCATCTTCCCTGGGGTCAGAGCTTTGAGTCTCAGGAATGAAGAATCGAGCCTTTGGGCATTCCAGGTTCCCTCAGCAGAAGGAAAGGCTCCAGGCCTGGATGTTCCAGGGCAGAAGTGAGGTCACCTTGAGCCAGTAAAGCTGAGGAGAAGAGCGAGAGAAGATAGGTGGCCCTTACTTTCAGCAAACTTCAAATGCGGAAAATCCAGACTTAGGAAACTATCCTCAGACTTTGTTTTCAGATGTAGTTTAAAGAACTCAATAGCTAAAGTGATTGAATTTCCCGATAACTAAGTTCCCCAAAGCTTTTGAAAATAGTGTTTTAGTTTAAAAAAAATTAGACTTCTCACCATGTACATTCAGGGACACTTACTGTAAAGAACATAGTCCACCCGGGCAGTGACATTATTAATTATAACAGAAACAAGCTTATTACTCAGATTCTGACTCATATTTACAAGAGATTTTGAAGTTTTATAAGGCTGACCCTTGAGTTGTCAATATTTGATGACCTCATAATGAATATAATACTGCCTGTGGCTTTTGGAGGAAGTCTGTCACATCAAAGGCTAGTCAGATGAAATTAGGAGTATTTTATAAGGACACGGAGTCCTTCCTAGCTTGGTGAGGGACAAATCCCATTCAGTAGAAATTAGTCAACAAGCCCGTCCTGAATACCTACAGATCCTCAGGTTGGTGCTGGGCGTGGAGAACCTATAATCAAAGTGACTATATTTTCTAAACAAAAGCCCAGAGTTTTCAGTAAAACAAAGGATTTTTATGTCACTTACTGGGGCTAAAAGATACTCTGAGAGATGTAATTTAGACCCCCAAATAGAAAAATCTGGGACAGTTTTTAGATTCATCTGGATAAAAAAGAAAGTATCTGAGATGATAATTGTCCTAGGGAAACGAGCACGCAGGGCCATTTGTTCAACAGACACTGCTCAGGGTTAAGCACAGGAATGACAGACGCTGACGCTGCCTCGAGGAGCCCGCTGTCGGGTGGGAGACGACCGCGCATACCAGCCCTGATGCGGGAGGTGGTGAAACAACATTCAGCTGCGGCATGAATGCTAGGTCCTTCCTGGGAGTCAGGGCGGCTGCTTCTTTTTTTTAAATAATTGGAGTATAGTTGATTTGCAATACTGTGTTAATTTCAGGTGTACAGCAAAGTGATTCAGTGATGCATGTATATATAGTTTTTTTCAGCTTATTTTCCAGTATAGCTTATTATAAGATACTGAATATTATTCCCTGTGTTACACAGTAAATCCTTGTTGTTTATCTGCTTTGTATGTAGTGGTGTGTATCTGCTAATCCCATACTCCTAATTTATCCCTCTCTCCCTTTCCCCTTTGGTAACTGTAAGTTTGTTTTCTATGTCCGTGAGTCTATTTTTGTGTCATAAATAGATTCATTTGTATTAGTTTTTAGATTCCACCTATAGGTGATATCATATAATATTTGTCTTTCTCTGACTTAAAAATATGGGATGCTTCATAAATTGCATGTCTTCCTCGTGCAGGGGCCATGCTGGTCTCTGTATCGTTCCCATTTTACTACATGTGCTGCCGAAGTGAGCACAGGGGTGGCCTCTGGAATCACACAACTTGAACTGAGAAGTGTATGGTCAGTAGGAATTTGCTAGGCAGACAAGAGGGCAGGTGAGGAACATTCCAGACAGGGATCAGACTGTCTGAAGCATGGGCGAACAGGACATTAAACGAGACTCTTCTAAATAACTCACAGAAATTAGAAAGTGCATTGAAACAAATGATGATGAAAATAGAATGTATGTAAAGTTTGCATATTACACCCCAAATCATACTTAGATGGGCATTTAAAACCTTAAACTCATATATTAGGAAAGGAAGAAAAGCTGAAAAATCGGTAACAGAAGCAACCATTTCAAGAAATTAGAAAGAGAACCACAAATTAAACCCAAAGAATGTAGGAGGAAAGAGATAATACGGATAAGAATGTAAATTAATGTTCATAGAGAGGCTTGTTGGTCAGTGAAAAAAAACTGATGAGCCCTTAGCAAGACTGATCAAGAGGGAAAGAAGGCAGGCACGTGGAGGGAACGGAGGATGCTGAATGAGAGAGTATTTCAGAGCCTGGAGACATTGGAGACGTGAAAGAGGAATATTTTGACCAACTTGGTGTCAAGGAATCTGAAGAGTTAGTGGCAATTTTCAAGGAAAATGTCAAACTCCTTGAAAAATATAATTTCTTAAAACTGACCAAGAAGAAATAGAAACTTGAATCCTTTTATATCTGTTAAATAGATTGTAATGAGAATCCTTCTCAGAAGGAAAACTTGAGGCACAGACGGTTTCACTGGTGAATTCTTCCAAATATGGAAGAACTACTCATCTTATATACAATCTTCCAGGGACTTAGAAAAATAAGGACTGCTTTCCAACATGTTTTATGAGGCCAATGTAGCATTGATATTAAAACCGGAAAAGACAAGAGAGGAATATTACAGGCCAGTTTCTCTTATGAATTAGATGAAGCCAACAATACCTAAAAGGATCAAATATCATGGCC